GAGCTCGAACAAATGCTCCTCGAGCAAAACCATGTGCAAATAACAGTTCTGATCCTCAAATTTGGGAATTATGTGCTGAATTTTGGAGACACTCCCAAAATACTCAAACTTATGAATCTTTACATTCTCTACATGTAGCGTGAGTGTCATTTTGGAAGAACTCCACAGGAGTGACCTGTCCAGTGAAGAGGTTGTGGAAGAACATAGTGAGTTTGGCAAGTGGAGTTTAGGTGAAAATGAACCTTATGAGACTACTGATGGTACTCAACATTTTAATGAAGCTAGGTATGTGATGTTTGGTTATTTCATAGGTATAAACTGGAACAAATAACTCAAGACTTGTGAACAGACTGTGCACAGCTGTACAGACAGTTATTATCTTGTCATAATTACTACACATGAAATTCTTGTAAGCACTTCATGTTAAAATGAACCACTATCATTGTCAGATGTTTTATTATTATTATTATTATTATTATCTCAGTGAATTTATTTTCAGGAATAAAATATTTATTTGATGCTTATTTACAGCATGGACATCAGCTCTGAGGAAGATGAGAGGACACTGACAATGATTGATCCTCTTTATGGTGACAGTTTTGTCAGTAGCCAATCCAATGAGGATGAATGTGTAGCTGGTGATGAGCCTGGTCCACAGCCAGAGGAGCAGGTGGTTGAAGGCTCAAAGTCAGTAAAGAAAAACAAAGAGAAAACCTTGAAAAAGCTAGAAGAAACATTTTCTCAGTTGACTGATGTGAAAGACCTCAAGGCATACTTTGCTTTACACTCGCGCATGTGGGTGATTGTTTCCATCAATAAGTTGGTCGAACTATCCACAGACACATGTGCTTTCATTAGTGGAGGGAAAGTTTGTGCATGGAGAAGTTCTCTGTGTAACACAAAATGTGACTTCCATTGGATCACGAGTTGAGATCACAAGGAAATGTAGAAATGGGCACAGCCAAAAATGGATTTCATCAGAGGTCCTGGGAGCAATTTAAGCACAACTCAGATATTTATCTTAATGATAATTTGTTGGCTGCAGCGATAATAATTTCTGGTAACAATTATAGCAAATTTGCTCTACTGTGCAAGGCCCAAGGACTGAGCATCATTAGCAGCAATATATTCACGCGTTTTCAGACGCGTAGTGCTGCTCCTGTTATTAATGATGTTTGGAACAAAATGAATGCCCTGATAGTCTATGTACTTAAGCAGTATGAAGAGATATGTTTGTGCGGAGATGGCAGAAATGATTCACCTGGTCATTCTGCAAGGTATTGTGTCTATACCTTGATGGAACATGCCACTAAAGTTGTCGTTGACATGGCTGTTGTTGACAAGAGAGAAACTGGTGGCATAGACAACTGATGACAATGTCTTCAACCCAAAGCAGATTGCTCCCACTATTGCCATGAAGGCAGCGCCCTCTACTGAGGAATTGATGAAAGGGCTATCTCGTCTTGCTAAGCCGCCTTTGAAAAAGTGGAACAGTTCAACTGGGGAAGCAGGTGATCATTTATATTTTTTCTTCTAAAATATTAAACGTATTGCACAGGTAAAGATGAAACACATTGAAACATTGTTTCATCGTAAATGAACAGGAACATGTTTTAATACCAGTGATCATAATGTCTCTTCGGGAGAGTTATTTTTGTAGAGACAGACTTTATCCAGCTTAAATTGGTTGCATGAAGTACAATTGGTTAATTTTTTTTTAATCATAAATTGGGGAGAAAATAACCCTGTCTTTTTTTAAACACTTAGCATGCACTACTTCTAATGCAAAGCATAGAACGGACTAGTTCTCAATACAAGTGTGAATGAAATTGAAAAAAAAAATATGGGAGTACTTCTTACTCTCGCAGAACTATTTAGCTGTATCTGTATCCCATATATTGACCATCTGCTGAGGGATATATTCTTCTTATTGACAATATAACACATGAGGGCACTACCCTCCTATTGCCCCGGCCGAGTTTGCCAAACCTCCACAGAACAAACTGTCAATAGGCGGCTTTCCTGAAACTCTCCATGGAGAAATTGAATTCATCTGCCTGAATGTCGCAGCGAGCCTTGATGCAAACCTCAAGGATGTCCCTGTCTAGACAAATATTATTGAATGCCTGAAATCTTGTAATACAGGTCACCCTCTTACAACAAACATTTTCGATTTCATTCGGCATTGGCCTACACGCATTACATTTGCACCACTCGGGAGAAGTGTCACCAGGACTTGGAGTGGGAGGTGGAGGTGCATTCTTTTCTTGAAGAAGCTTCTTGGCAAAGTCTAAGCTTCCCCTCCCCATAGCCAAAACATTGATCCTTAGAAGGTAAGCCATGTCTTCTCTCTGAAGAAGGGCAAGAAATTCCTGTAAAAAAGAAATTATGAAACATCAATCTACTTTCTTGTTTCAAGCAATTGTACTAAAATACCTTTACATGTACACGTCATGTATTTACATTTTTTTTTTCAAAACTCTACAGTACGTTAGAACAGTTTGTCACTCGAATGCTATCTCGTTATAGAGGTGTCTAGCTGGTGAGAGTACATAGTGTGCCCGTAGATAAATGGAAATTTCTCCCAGCCTGGCTTTTCGAAATGAACTTTGTGGTATGTATACCAAGTGGTTTCAAGGACTTGAAGGCTAGTATGGCAAACAATGCTGTCAATTATTTTGCATGGATAGCAAGTCAAAAGTTAGAGGAAGTCTCATTAATATGAGCTACTTCTTTCTTTGGGTACGTTATTCCATGTAGGCTCACTGCAACATGTTCCTTATGCAATTTGTAAAACGGATTTTATACACACCTCGATTTGAGTCATAGACCATTGAACTTCTCTTGCAAGCTGTACTTCTCCATCGGGATCAATGGCTTCATGTCCGTTTTCTTGGGTATTCTCACGAGCCTAAGGAAGACACATCGCGATGTTAATCTTGATAAGGCTTTAATTTCTATAGGATAAATGAACTTATTAAAAGCTGTGAGCTATGATTCGCACTTACCTTGTTTTTGCATTTCGAATGAGGACATCTGCACCGAGTCGAGCAATTCTTGTTCGCCGCTTTACACAGACAGAAACCCTGACCTTTTTTTCGGAGACAAATTCATGGTGCTGGGAATATCATCAAATTTGTGCAACTAAATCAGCAAAGCAAACACTCAGGCATAGTTTGGGTACAGTTTGATCACTCAGATTTTGGTAAAAAAACTAGACATGAGAACAGACATCTCTATACCCAAGGAATTGACCATAGGGCATGGACCCCAGTAAAACCAGTTACCATACAATTTTTTGTTGGTAAAAACAAAGCAACTCAAGTTGTCAGAAAACAGTTTCCATTATGCCTTGCAGCAGCAAAAACAGTTCATAGATCACAGGGGGATACTGAAACTAAAATTATTGTCAACTTAAGTACTAAAAAAACCATTCCACCTTTGAAGGCTTATATATAACTGATCTCTGTGAAGACAAAATTGTTATCCATGCCGCTGTTGAGAAAGAAATGGAGTGATTAAGAACAACTGCTAAACTTAAACTTTGTATATCACCACTTAATCAATGCAAGATCACTGTGTAGACACAAGGCATTAATGCAAAGACTTAAACTATTCAAGTTCTGATATCAGTTTTTTTGCAGATACAAGATTTAGTTCCCAAGATTCTTGTGACAAATATAACATAGTTGGTTAAATAACATCTCTTTTAAAATAACAGTCCACATACATACTGTAGTCTTGGATCAAGACCTTTTGGTGGTACAGCTGTGTTTAGCAAAATCCCATATTGCCCTGGATATCCTTACTGTCACAATGTACATGGTATTGAAATAACTGGGATTGAAGTCTCAATTTGTGAGAACTGTACAGTCTTGGGTATTTATTGCTGTCCAAAAATTCCCAGAGGACGACTTTGTCAGGCAGTCTCAGAAGTGCTAGATACCATTTTGACAGAGAACAATATTATTATTGGAGACTTAAATGTAAATTGCCCTATTTAGGCAGACAAGCTACCTTTGTGGAATTTACTATTTAGAGATAAATGTTAGAAACAGTTRATATCAACATACACAACTTACAATAGAACATTAATTGATCATAGATTTACAAACATCTCACTTAAATATACAAGCAGATGTTTTAGAGACTTCATAGATCATAACGCAATAGGGGCCTCATTTCTTAGTGCTATTAACTGATTATTTTTTATGGAAAATTCAGACAGATTTAAAGACAAAAAAAAAAGAAATTGATACCCCGTAGTGATTCAAAGAATGCTAATAAACTCAGTCGGCCAGAGTCTTGGTCACAAGGCAAGGCTGTACATTACTGTTAAATGAAAATTAGCTAATTAACATACATGTATAGATTCATATTTGAAACAGACCACACAAATGACAAGATTGCTTTCATGTAATTAGAAATCAGGAGTAATAGTACTAATAGCAATAATAATTAGAACAATAATTTTCATAATAATAAAGTAAACAAACTGTCTTTGATTTGATAGCTAGTCAAGAAGTGGCTTGTGAGATGTGAGTCAACATCCAGTGTCACCAGTTGTTACGAATTATTTTACTAAATCTATTTAATAGACCTGTTTTTCAGAGGACTATCATTGTAGTACTGTTACAATTTCAAAATTCATGTTCCTTTTTTCCCCTTCTCTTCAAATAGACTTCGTTCAGAGGCATCACTTAGAGAGGACATGTGTACATTACAGCAGCACTGTCTTACAGTTCTCCTGCGATGAAGAATACAGCTTACTGAACAGTCTCTCAAGATTACATCAAGTTACTTCTATCAGATAATCACAGCAAAACAACATACTGCACGCACAATGCATGTTACTTCAACTACAAAGCTATACTTGGATCACTTTAATCTGCACTTTTATTTCATACAGATATTACATGATACAGATATTTTATTTTATACGGATTCCATGAACGACTTCATGATGCATACCTGAGCTTTAAGAAGTTCTTGGACAACACTCGAGTATGTCTCCCGCCATATTTCGCATTGTTGT